AAGTGAAAGTCGCTCAGTCGTGTCCAGCTCTTTGAGATCCCACGGGCTATACAGTCCACGGAACTCTCCAGGCCAGAATACTGGAGTGGGTAGCTGTTCCCTTCTCCAGGGGGTTTTCCCAACCCAGGGATCGAATCCATGCCTCCCACATTGCAGGCGGATTCTTTACCAGCTGAGCCACCAGGGAAGCCCCCTGGACAAAGTTGAGTGAAAGTTAGAGGAGAAACAGCCCTTCTTGACCTCCCTCTCCACCTACTCCTGACTGCAGAGTCCAGGAAAGGTGATTCTTAGCAGACATATCAGCGGATCCGTAGCACATTCTTCCATTGTTCTTTGAAGATTAGTGGTACTTACAAATTAAGTAAGTGATTATTACAAATCACCAGGCTCTTTCTGAAGGAAGTTTGTACCCTCAGCAACCCCCTGCCTCAGAGTTCATCTGCCATGGAGACCGCCTTCCTTTTCTTGAAATAGATGAGTTCAGATTCTCACCACAGCAGGAATAATGCTGGCATGGGCTCCCTTTAATGTGCTTTCCACAGTCTTTTCTGAAGGACACCGTCCTGCCTTTAATACTCAGGCCAGTGCTCAGTCCCATGCGGCCTAGTACCTTCTGGCTAAAGCAGATTAGACCAAGGTAGACCACCAACCCATGGGGCCTCATCTACAGACTCGTCAGCAGATGCCAAGAGAATGAGTCATTTAGTGGGATCTGAAACCCAAATTTTATACAATCAAATGGGAGAGGTCAAAATGGACCATTTTAAGCTCATAAGACAGTAGGACCCATGAGTAAGCAGAGAAAATTGACAAAGGACAATGGGGCAGCTGTACAGAGAAACTCAAGTGGAGAGAGGAGGTGGGAGAGAGACCAGAGAGAGACAGAACAGTTCGGAGGAACTCATCTATGGCGGTATCTTGGACCTGACAGTTGTTCAATTCCTTCTAGCCCCCTTTTTCACTGTGCCTTAGGTGACTAGAACAACTCATTTCCATAATTGTTATCAGAATGTGATGAGTGTTTCCCTAGAAAACTACGAACATGTGAGCTTCTTCTTACCTACCTGTCAGATGGCTTGAGCAACTACGTTTGGGAATAAAGTGTGAATAAATAATATAGAGTTTGGCAAGACTGGCACTTTGGGAAGAAAGGAGAGCAAGAGAGTGAATATTTGCTTTGTTCTTTAGGTTAATATGAGGTTCAGAGGTTAAGGTAAAGGAGAAGATATCCACAGCAAAACTCATGCCAAATTGAAGAATTCTCCAGACCATAGGAAGAAATAAAGGCAATTCCTTCAAGGACATTGTGTGTGTGCATAGCCTCACATTCAGTAGAGAGCTCAGTTATGAAAAGGAGGTGCTCTGAAATTTGCAGAATGAATAAACTAATGAGGCACATCTACCCCAGATGGAGAAAGCCTATCCGTTTTATTAAAATTTTCCAACCCTTAAAAGTTATAACATGAGAAGCTGCAATATATTGAATTATCTCAACCCTCTGCCCCCCAAACAAAGAAGTTAATAAGGAAATCAAGTGAGACGAATCTAAGACTGACAGTTCAAATAGGCCAAATAGCCAAAATATCTGCGGTATGTTAGAATACTTTAAATAAGGCCCTGGTGAATTGCTTTTATTAAAGAGCAAGGAGTCCTCAGAAAGGACGTTTTTCGACCTGCCAGAAGTAAAAGTGAGGAGGAGCCTAGAACCCCTTATCACCCTGTAGTGCTTGCTTCCCTGCCAGTACCCCCAGCATGCCCTTATGCCTGTCCAGCCTGTCCATCCCCAAGTAGCTCTGGTCCAGCTGGGGAGAACGTCAGCATCCTGACCAATGAGAGTTTAAGGTCCCTCAGCAGGCAGTAATCCGCAAGTCAAAGGAAGGGAATGAGATATGAACACAGAGCTGCACTCGACATCCAGTGCAAACCCCGGCAGAACCCGCCTCTGGTACACAGCAGCACCTGCACTTGTCCAGAGGATGGGCAGCGGTGAGCCTGCTCTGGGCATGAGAGAGAGTGAACGTGCGCTGAAGGGAAGAGCTGGGTGCCCAGCACAGCCCAGGAAGACAGGCCTGGTTCTTCAGAGGAGAGAGGCGACCTGGTATCCTGTGGTATCCACCACTGTGTTGGCCACCTCGGCAACTCCAGTTTAGACCCATCAGGGCTGCTCTCTCCCCTTCTGTTAAAGTAGAATACACACGGGGAGAGAGGCACTGCCAGCCCTCAGCCAGTCAAAGGGCCGGGTACGGGGCCAGGATGAGGAGGGGCCCTGGCGGCACCACCAAGCCTGCTTGGAGGAAGCAGTGGCACCAGGGGGAGTGGAGACCACCTCTCCTGAGGAACTGGAACGACCTCACAGGGAAGCTCACTTGGTGTAGCATTAGGTCCAGGGTTCTGAGGAAGGGAATCCCATAAAGACCACAGAAAGAAGACCGGCCTCCAAGACCGGCTGACAGGATGGTAGCAGACAGGACTGTTCCTAAGCAGCAACCTCTGGAAACTGCGGGCAAGGAGTGGTCCTTCATCACCAGGTGAGGGCAAGGATGAGTGGAACAGGGATCGGACAACAGGACAATTCATGTGAAACAGTCAAATAATTCAAAGGGTAAAAACACAGGCTGGGTCACTCAGAGTGCCTGAAAGTGATTATTCTAACATGCAAATTTGATGACATCAGATCCTGTTTAAAATTGTTGCCTTTTCTCCTTTCCCACACGCCGCACATTACCTCAGACCATAATTAACGACCCCCAGGACACGTGTCATAGTTCTCACTGCCACTAGACTTGCGTCGTCCCCTCCCCCCACACTGCTTTTGGGGATCAGGCCTTGAATCTTTCTTAGGAGGTGGAACTGGCAGGGGTGGGGGCAGTGGTCTGTATTAGGTGATAGACAACAGAAAGCGACGTTTTCTGAACTAGAACTTATGATTTTTGTGCCAAGTAGGCTAGCTACTTTTTCGTGCTCCATTTCATTTCACTGTCACATCCCCTCATGAGGCAAATGTCAGTATCTGCACTTTGCAGATGAGGAAAATGAGACTCAGAAAGGACATACAAAATGCCCAAGCCACGGAACCCTAAGTGGGGTGTGGGGCTTGAACTTGGGCTTCCTGACATTATGTCTCATAGTATGAACCACTGGTAACATTTCTCTGGCCTCATCTTTCTTCTCCTCAGAGCCCCAGTACAACATTTATTGATCTGCCTACCAACATCTCTTCCTTGATCTGCTGAGGTCTGACTTAACCAAACCTCACTGTCACCTTCTGTCCACCTGTCCTTTACTCCCTACATCTCCCCCTCTGCACTCACCCTTGGAAGACTCCATCAGAATTTGCTGTAGCTTCACTCTCATTTTCCTGAGAAGAGCTGAATAGACCTGAGCATGTCCAGGGTCTACAGTATTTCTGAGGAAGGTGGAGGGGCCCAGGCAGGGACTGTGTGAACAAAGGCTCTTACAATAGTGCTTTCAAGGTGACATACACACAATGCCTTGTATTTTATCTCTTAATCATCCCCTGGTCTATCTGGCTGGTGTCTGACATTGAAATCCTGCAACATCCAGTGAATAAAGAGCCATTGTGTTTTTTCCCAAACAGAATTGGGCCTGTCACTCCAGTCACAGAAAGGAGCCTGGTCTCTTTAGTCAGTATTTGCAATGACACTGTCCCTGCTGGTCATTATTCTGCCCGAACAATAGCAGCCAGGTGTCACCAGGATCACGAACCAGCACAGCTGCAGGCCTCCATGAAGTCATGAGGCTTGACACCCTCTTGGAGAATGGCTTGAATGTTCAACTTAAACTTGGGGAGCTTCTGGCCAATCCAGTGACGAAGCTGCAGGGCCAGGTTCCTTCCTGAGCCTCTTGGTGGCTTGCCTGAACATGCAGCCTCTGATGTCACCCCTTGAATCAGGTCCTTGAGGGTAGGGCACTGGAAGCAGTTGTGCCCTTTGGAAGATGTAACCCCTTAGAACAGGGCTCCCATGTGTATGGGAATCCCCTGGGATCTGGGGGAAACGCAGTTTGGATTCAGCCTGAGATTGTGTTTCTAACAAGCTTCCAGGTGAGATGACTGGTGCTGCTCTGGGACCATGTTTTCACTCACAAGGGCTTAGAGCCTCTCTCAGCCCCAGGGTGGGACTAGAGCTGAGATGTGAGGGGTGTCTCTGAGGCTCTGAGGAAGCTGCTCAGCTGGAGTCAGCTGTGATGCCATCGTCCCCTGAGCAGACACCCAGACACGGCAGCAGGGACCAGACCTCAGGGAAGAGCTGAAGACGATGCAAGTAATGATCAGAGATGCTCACAGAATAAAAAAAGGTGGGGGATAGATATAAGTGGTGGTCTTATTGGAAGAGGAGATACAGGGTCGGGGGTGGACGATGTCACGTGAGGAGTTCCCAAAATAAAGTCACACACAAGAAGACCCCAGTCCTTCTTCATTTCAATCAGCCTTTCCTCTTTCCCAGAGTCTTCTCTTCCATGTCAGCCTCAAGATGCTGACTGTGTGATGCTCTCGAGGAGAAAGCCAGAAACCCTGCAGTGGGCCCTTCCTGGCTCCTCTCTCTCACTGTGTGCTGCAGGTGGTCCCGGACCACTTCTGGCTGCTCACGACGGCACACGGACACCAGTGGTTCTGAAAATGAGTCTCAGTAGGCTGGGCTGTGTCAGAACCTCCGGGGGGCTTGTGAAAAATTTAGTGTACAAACCTAGAAATTCTGACACAGTAACATGTGGGAAAGAGCCCTGGAATTTACAAAAAGGTTTAAGCTCCCCAGGCTATTATGAAGCACAACCAAACTTGAAAAGTGCCAATTTACACAAAATACTACTACCACCCAACTATACAAAATGCGGCTAACAAAAGGTAGCTAAATGCCAATATTATAGTGTAATTCCATTTGCTTGTATGTTATATGTATATGCTTTATAGTATATAATAAACAGTATACCTCCAACTTTGTAAATATACAAACACATTAGATATATAGATATATAGATACCTGAGAAGAAGGATGATAGGATTATAGGGCTTTTCTTCTTTTATTCCTTTCTCTTCTTTACTCCTGCTTTCCAGCCCCACTGCCCAAAGGACGGGGGTGACCCCAGGCTCCCTTGTTCCTGTGACACAGACAAGACTGTCATAGAAGGAATTTATAGTCACAGATCTCTACAAACAAGAGACACACCATTCCATGCCACGCAAGGCCACAGGGTAGGTAAGGAGGCAGAAGAGGAGAGAGAGGAGAGCAGGGCCCAGAGCTTTTTTGGGGTTTTCCCTAGAAAGGATGGGCCAGGCAAGATAGGTATAATCAGTAAGCTTAGAGTGGGAAAGTTTGAAGGAGTTCAACAGGCTCTGGGCTGTGTGGGTGGTCTCTGCGTGTTTGAGACCTGGCTCTGGGGTAATTGAGGGCAGGAGGAATGCTGACTTGTTCTGTGTGAGTTTGATAAAGGAGATGATGTAGGTGTGGGCTCTGGGTTGGTTGGTTTGTATATCACAGGTGCACTCTTGGGAAAGTCATTTGCTACCTTTAGAAATTAGCTGGCCCTGGGAGGGCCAGTCTCTCTAAGATCAAGGCTTCAAATGTCAGAGTATCAATAATACAAAAATGTTTAAAAATATAGTCAATTTTGCTTTGCATAATCAACCTTCAAAAATGCCACGGAGGTCTTTAAATGACACAGAGCAAAATCAATTGCAGGGTAAGAAGCTTTGTGTATTTTTTAGAATCTTGTGAGCTGGACACAGATTTCAGGGCTCTTCCACTCTCCTGTTTAAATGGTGAGCCTCATAATTTTAGCATTAACTTTTACAAAGCACTTTCTTTCACACATTTTACTTTATTTAATTTCCATAACCATTCTAAGAGATAAGCATTTGGTTCCTATTTGATTCATAAAGAAGCAGTCTGGTGGGATTTGGGGTCAGAGGAGTGAAAAACAAGGGACACATTACCATGTGTCAAGTTCTCCTAAAGGCTTCCCTGGTGGCTCAGATGGTAAAGAATCTACCTGCAGTGTGGCAGACCTGAGTTTGTTCCCTGGGTTGGAAAGATCCCCTGGAGAAGGGAATGGCTACCCATTTCAGTATTCTTGCCTGGAGAATTCCATGGACAGAGGAGTCTAGTGAGCTACGGTCCATGGAGTCCCAAGGAATTGGACTTGATTGAAAGGTAGTGTTCTTCTTAGGTTCAGAGAAGCTAAGTAACCCTAGGCAAAAGCCAGAAGCTGAAATGTCCCCCTGGGTTAGACAATGAACCGTACCCTTTCCACTATATTCACTGATTCAAGCAGTAGTGGCAAACCCCCATATATCCCAGATGCTATTCTGGATGCTGTACAAAGATGGATATGCAAAGATAAGCAAAATAGATGGCATGCTCCCTAGTCTTGAGGAGTTTACAGAAGAGTAGGGAGAAAGATATTAATAAATTTATCATCAAGATATAAAATGAGAATGGTGCTTAAAAATTTGAAGGAACACTTGTGAGGCACTGAGCCCACCTCCAAAATCCTGGGCCAGGAGCCAGGTCTAGGACCTGTTTTACCAACCCAGCAGCCCTGCTCAGGGCACTGAAGCTGTTTCCTGGTCCATGATAACTGCCAATGCATCTTCTTCCTAATGGGTACTGCCTGGCCCTTCACTGCCCACCTTTTCCTCTAGCAGGTCAGGAGAGTGATGGCCACTCAAACCAGATTCCAACTGTATCAGAAGACAAGGCAGAGAAGAGCCAACAAATATGTTTTTTAGGGTGGTTAGGAAAAATCCCAGAAATATGCCTGAAAGAACTTTCTTCTTCAGAAGGAAGCGATGGATAGCATTTGTTACCTACATAAAGATATCAAGAATCCTCCCTTTTCTTTTAAAATTCTGACTCAGGGAGTGTGAAGGGAAGACTTTTTAAGAGGGGAAAGCTGCTGGGAAGGTTCCCGTGCTCTTTAGGGGGAGCCACAGGAAGAGACACTGAGTATTGAGAGGTCTGACAGTGATGCTCCAATGTGGCTGCTAACACCAAAGACACAGTCAGCACCCAGAGGGCCTGAGCAGACAGTCAGACCTCGGTCCGCAGCACGTCACTGGGCCCCCAAAGCAGCTGTGCCTGCAGTCCTCCTACCTCAGAACTTCCTAACACCCAAGATAATAAAATCCTTGTCTAAACCAACTTGAGATGGGGTTTCTTCAAGACAAATATATTTTAACTGATGCATAAAAACTTTTATTTTTAGTATCATGAAGTTTACTTTCAACTACATGGGAGCAAAGTCATTGATGTCTTCTACCTAGATCAAAGGTATCTTTTTAAGTAAATGATTTATTGAAATATAGCTACCTGATACAAAGAGCTGACTCACTGGAAAAGACCCTGATGCTGGGAAAGACTGAGGGCAGGAGGAGAAGGGGATGACAGAGGATGAGATGGTTGAATGACATCATCAATTCTATGGACATGAGTTTGAGCAAGCTCTGGGAAGGACAGGGAAGCTTGGTGTGCTGCAGTCCATGGGGTCACAAAGAGTTGGACAGCACTGGGCAACTGGACAACAAGCATACATTTGAAAATTTGTACAAATCCTAGATACACAATTTGATGAATTATGATAATGGAAACACACGCATGCAATCATCCAGGTTGGACCTAGAAGAAATTGGAGAAATTTGGATAAGTAGAAGTTAAAGGGCCAGCCAGGCATAGTATGTAAAAGGAAAAACATGAGTCTAAGTCCCAGGGTAAGACCTTACAAAGCAGTGAAGGGAGACAATGAGGATACTGCTTGACAAACATGGATCATTAGGATAAAGAAAGTCCATTCAGACTCATTTATTATGTGAATTTTTATAGACTTGTCCTGCTGGTGGACCTTGTTGTTGGGACCCAACAATTCTATTCCTATTGGGAATATAAAAGGGAAGAATCCGAGAAATACCCAATCTAAGGTGAACAGCCACTTAGAGAAACACAGGTTAGTAAATACACATGTATTTTCTTGCTCTTTCAGCTAAGAGGGACTAAAAGTAGTGACACTCCAGTAGCAGTGAGCACATGTAGTGATTTCTAATACCATTCTCTGATGCAAGACATCAGGGTTTATCTAGAGCTGATTCTACTGCTGGGGCAGGAAATACAAGTTGAGCCTGGAACATCTTGTAGATGCACTTTTCTCTAAGAATGTCAGGCTCATCATCATTGGCACTCACCATGTGATTGGTTTTACAAAGGTCACAGCTATGATGAGAGACCGGAAATGTCACTGTGGTCACTTATCTCCCTTCTTCATCCAGAGCCATTGACAAGGCTGGTGTAAAGATGGTATCATGGGCTGAAAATTGGTCACTCAAATATAACAGGTTTTAACTACTGAAACTTGTAAATGTTATAAAGAAGAAGAATCATTGTAGGTGTGACTAAAATGAAGGATCTTGACATAGGGAGATTATCCTGGAATATCAGGATGGGCTATAATGTGATTACAAGTGTCCTTATAAAAGAAAACAGTGACAATTCACACAGGGAAGAAAGGCAATGTGACTGCAGAAGCAGAGACTGAAGCAGCCACAAGTCAAGGAAAGCCAGTTGTCACCAGAAGCTGAAAGAGGCAAGGAACAGATTTTCCCCAGAGCACCCAAAAGGAGTGCCATCCTACACCTTGATTTCAGCCCACTGATACTGATTTCAGATCTCCAGAACACTGGGAGAATAAATTTCTGCTATTTTAAAATACCAAATTTGGGGGGATTTGTTATAGTAGTGGCTGGGCCAAAGCAGAAATGATGCTGAGTTGTGGTGAGTGTAAAGTGAGTGTAAAGTGTGGTGAAAGTAAAGTCCAATGTTGTAAAGAACACTATTGCATAGGAAATTGGAATGTTAGGTCCATGAATCAAAGTAAATTGGGTGTGGTCAAGCAGGAGATGGCAAGAGTGAACATTGACATCTTGAGAAATCAGTGAACTAAAATGGACATGAATGGGCAAATTTAATTCAGATGACCATCATATCTACTACTGTGGGCAAGAATTCCTTAGAAGAAATGGGATAGACCTCACAGTCAACAAAAGAGTCTGAAATGCAGGAAACTAATACCTATGGCAAAATACGCATTCCACTAATAAGTGAGAAAACGCACCCTCTGAGGTTCCTGATGTCTTGTTGGTCCAGGTCTTGTCTTGGGTTCTTAGTCTGTCCTCTTGGGAACAACTGCCCCAGCCCCCGCCTCAGCTACCCTAGGCAGTGACTGTATCCTCTGTTTTAAGCAGGTCTCCTCATGTTGCATCCTCACCTATGACAAATCTCTCTGCTTCCTGCCCCCAAGTTGTCCCACTGGTTCTACTTCTTCTCTGCCCCTGCTCATCATGCCTGATGTTCTGCTCACAAGAGACAAGGAAGCACTGAGACCTCATCCCTGTTCCCATATGCTACCCTCAGACTCTTATCTTTGGCTTCAAGAGATAGCATACCTCTGCATTTCTGCTGTAACACTAATGTGCTCAGACTTCACAGGACGTGTTAGGCCATGGCAAGCTCTCTGCGGAAAATGTTCAACTGAGTAGGGTCACAAGGTGCAGAAGCAGGAAATGAATAAGAAAATCCAAGGATAGAATGAGGGAAATGGTACAACCCGATTGTTCTAGTGATGAAGAAAAAGTGAGCAAGGAGGGAAGGAGCTGCAAGGTCACTTGCAGGTGGCAGGAAGATGAGCAGCATCAGGAGAGAGGTTATGGGCAGTGGCTGGGGTACGCCTATCCTAGCAGGTGGAGTCCAGAGCTGCCCTTTGACCTGGGGTCTGGTGCCACCACATTGAAGGAGGCATTGCCAGGCTGGATGGAGCAAAGGTTGGATGTGGTCTCCCCATCCCACACCACCAACTGTGGTTCTCCTATACTAGTAGGTTGAGAAATAGCCAGCCCCCTCCCTAAAGACATTTGGCTCTCAGTCTCAGAATCTTTTACCTTACAGTGGAGGGAACTTTGTAGATATGATTAAGTTAAGGATCTCAGAATGGGGAGATTATGCCCAATGTAATCACAAGGTTCTGACAAGAGAGATGTAGGAGACTCAGAGTCTGTAGCAGGAGATGTGATGACAGAAGCAAGAAGTTGGAATGGAGTGGAGTACAGGTAGCTTCTAGATTTTGAAAAAGGGAAGGTAATAGACTCTTCCTGAAACCTCCAGAAGGAACACAGCCCTGCTGACATTTTGGTTTTGGATTTCTGACTTCTAGAACTGTGTATAGTTTTTAGTCACTAGGTTTGTAGTAATTTGTCACAGTGGCTGTAGGAGATGAATATACTCCTATACAGTCCAAGGAGGGCTGATGGGCGCACGTAAGCCTTTGGATTTTTGCTGAGACTTCAAGGAGCAAGATATGCTGCAAATGGCAATATCAGCAGCTTCTGAGGTCCCCAGTTGAGAGTCAGGAAAGAAGAACAGAACCCAGCATCCCCACAGTGCCAGAGTGAAGCAAGTCACACTTCTGGTAACAGATGGAATGGCTGTGCCCCGCTGGCACTAGCACATACAATGCCATCATCTCCTGGTCATTCACTCACTTGATAGAATGCTTTTTATGTTGCCCAAAAGGTCATCCATCTAGGTTGTGAGGCCAGTGTCCACCCAGAGCCCCTGGATCCTTCTCCAGGTTGACGGCATGTATGTGCTAGTGCCAGCGGGACATAGCCATTCCATCTGTCACCAGAAGTGTGACCTGCTTCACCATGGCACTGTGGGGACACTGAGTTCTGTTCTTCTTTCCTGATTCTCACCCACAGAGAGGAAAGGGAGCCAGCAAAAGCGAGTTTGGGAAGACTGTGGGATGCAAGGAAGGCACTTCTCCAGCCCAGCCAGCCTGCCAGGCCAGCACCAGCGTCACCACTCTGCCAACTGCAGCTGGCATCCCAGACGCTTGCAAATTTAAGGTGAAGAAATAGGGAACCTCTAGCTGCCTGCAGGCTCCCTTTCTCCACTCTGTGCTCCATTCCCTTCAAAAAAGCAATTTCAAGCTACCTCCCTACAGAGCATTAGCGTAATAGGCTGAGCCCTGGCAATACCATCCTAATTCTTTCATTTGAAGCACGTGTTCATTATAGACTTTCAAATAAATCATATTGCTGGCTCCAAAACAGAATGTTCCTCTGGGCTCACGTGCAACTCAGGAAACAACAGGACCACAGTCTCTGTGATATGCCAGGCATTCAGGTCTGACTATTAAAAGCTAGAAGGTGGCTGAAATTAGAGCTATGTTCCTACTATGTTCTTAAAGTAATGACCACTGATCCACTGGTGCATTTTCTGTAGAGAAAGTAATAATAGAATAATAAAAATTTGCATGCACCTGCCCTGCTTGAAGGGGGCTAGAACACCAGCCTGTAGGACAGCAGCAGGCAGTGGCTTAAGCCCTGGAAGGCTATGCAAGGCAGACTTTCCAGGCAGAGTTGAGCCAGCACCAGCACACTGAAACTTCTGATCCTAATACCAGTACTCTCTCCACTGCCCATTCTGTTCACTATTGGTAACCCCAATCTTTTTGCTGAAGTCCCCCGAATTCCAATATGCCTCCTAAGGGTAGTGCAACTCTCCAACAGTCCACCTAAACTCATGTTAGCTTTTTCTTTAACCTCATTTTTTAGGTTGACTGGTGGGAGCAGACGATGATTGGTCCTCATGTACACTGTCTTGCTCCCTTCAGCAGGACCTCCACCTCTGGGCAGACCCCCTCGGGTTCTTTCTCACCCACCTGCACTCTGCCTCTAACTGGGTAGGAGATTTAGGCTGATATCTTACATTTTCAGGGAAGAGGAGTGAAGGCTCTTGGATTCCTCTCTTTATACTGGGAGTTGTTGCATCTGGCACTTAATGAAAAGGCATATTGATTTCCATTTGGCTATTGATCCTCGTGTATAAACCTCTTATCAGGTAATGACACTGGGAGGCCAGTGTGGTTGAGTCCAGAGCCCTTAACAAGTCCTATAGTTCAGGAAACAAAGCCACGGGAGGTCATTTTGCAGACCTTGGTCAGTAAGTAACTATCACCGAAGGGGAAAGAAATCAATTATATACCTTGACCAGTCAACACTTAATTATTTAAAAATCATATCATCGTATTTGGGCATTATTTAAATGACTTGCAAACTAGTTTTGATAAACCAGTAAATGAATTTGACTTAGGACTGTGTTGTGCCAACACTTGTAGGACAACGACAGACCTCTGTGATAGGCAGAATAATGGCCTCCAAAAATGCCCACATCCTAACTCCAAATTTAGGAGTATGTTAGGTTATAGAGCAAAGGGGAATTAAGGTTGCAGGTGCAATTAGGATTGTTAATCACATGACTTGAAAATAGGGAAATTATCCCAGCTTATAGGGAGAGACCCAGCATAATCAGGGGTCTTAAGTGAAAGAGGTCCTTAAATGAAAGTGGAAAAGGGTCAAGGCACGGCCCCAGAGAACTTGGCCTGACATTGCTGGCTTTGAAGGAGGGCAGGAGGAACAAGTCAACAAATCTGAGTGGCCTCTAGAAGCTGGAAAAAGCAAGGACATGTATTCTCCCTTAGAAACTCCAGAAGGAACATAGCCCTGCTGACACCTTGATTTTTAGCCCAGTGAGACCCATTCAGACTTCTGACCTCCAGAACTGTAATAAATTGGTGCTGCTTTAAGCCACTGTGTTTGGGAAAATTTGTTACAGCTGAAACAGGAAACCCTCTCAATCTGAATTTTTCATCTTTAGTACTATTGACATATAGGGCTGGAAAATTCTTTGTTCTGGGGGCTGTCTTGGGAACTGTAGGATCCCTCACTTCTAACCATTAGATGCCAGTAGAACATCCCTCCCCAAGTTAAGACAACCAAGAATGCCTCCAGACATTTCTTTGAGTGGGGAGATGAAGGGGAAAATCATCCCTGGTTCAGAACCTCTGCTCCAAACCTACCATCCTGTCCATTTCCATATGTACTTGCCCTCACACACATGGGATTTTGGTCACTGACCTTTTCTTTGTGGATGCTTCTGGATGAAGTCTTTGATGCCAATTGAAAACAAACTACCACACAAAATTGGTATTAGTCTCTGATGCCTCAGAGTGAGTTTCTATCATTTCGACTAAGTTGGTTTGGAGTAGCTAATGAGTTTGTTGTTTAGTTGATAAGTCGTGTCTGACTCTTTTGCAGCTCCATGGACTGCCAGCTCCTCTGCTCATGGGATTTCCCAGGCAAGAATACTGGAGTGGGTTGCCATTTCCTTGTCCAAACAAACTGGTTTGATAAGGAGAGAGAAAAAGGAATCTGAACACACTATTAAGTAAAGAAAAGGACATAAAAACTGACATATAGATGGGTACAAGGCAAACTCTTCTCATTCCATGCAATGCTCTTAATCAATTAAGCCAAATTGAAGCATGCACACGAGTAAGATGTGACTTCTACCCTTAGGATCTCACTGTCTCATAAGGGAGACTCACAGGCAATTAAAAAAAAAAAACTTTCAGTAGAGATTAGAAGGACTGTATATACACCATGGTCATATATTTTGAATTAAGACTCTATGGCCTGGACACAAGCTCTGAGAAAGTATAACAATAGAAACAAATATTTGAAATCAAGACTACCTCAGAAAGTATGTCCATGCCACCCATAAGAGGTATATTCAGCAACATGTATGGACCTAGAAATGATCATACTAAGTGAAATAAGTCAGAAAGAAAAAGACAAATATCATATGATATTGCTCATATGTGGAATCTAAAAAAATGATACAAATGACTTACATGCAAAACAGAAATAGACCCAAACATAGAAAATAAATTTTTGGTTACCGAAGGGGAAAGAAAAGGAGAGGGATAAATTAGGAGACTGGGATTAATATACATACACTACTGAAACAGATAAGGACCTGCTATATAGCAAAGGGAACAATACTCAATATTTTATAATAACCTACAAAGGAAAATAATGTGAAAAGGACACATATATATAGACATATACATATATGCATATCCCCTTCATGGATTACTGCCTTGTCACGGCAAAGGGGCTTGCATAACTCAATGAAACTATGAGCCATGCCATGCAGGGCCACCCAAGACAGGCAGGTCACAGGGGAGAGTTCTGACAAAATGTGGACTTGGGCAAACTCTGGGAGATGGTGAGGGACAGAGAGGCCTGGTGTGCTGCAGTCCACGCGGGTCGCAAAGAGTCAGACATGACTTGGTAACAGAACAACAACAATATATATGTATAAATATATATCTGAATCACTTCGCTTTAGACCTGAAAGTAACACAACATTCTAAATCAACTATACTTCAATTAAAAAAATTTAATTTAGTTTAAAAATATTTAAAAGAGATATATAGATTGCAACTGGAAGCTTCCAGAGCATGGATTCACATGGGCAAAAAGAAGGAGTGACCCACAACCCACACAGCAGAAATCCACACATAGAGAGGCAGGACAGGAAAGCATATGGCTCACATCTAGAGTCAATCAGCAAGTCCAAATAGATGTGGCTGCCTAAAAAGGTAATTCCAAATATGCATCATACTCAAGTCTTAAAAAAAACAGATGACATAGGAATGATTTTTATTTAAAAATACATTATCAGTCAAGAAATTCTTCAAGAGTAGATGCTAAGGATTTAACCTAGATTCTTCTCTCTTCCTAATCACCCATGGTGCCACCTTGTGCAAGGTGCTTCTCGGTACCTCTGTTTCCACATCTGTAACATGGGAATAATAATGTCTTCCCTGAGGGCCACTGAAGGAGTCATATATCCAGACTAAGTGCTTTATAATTGTTCCTATGAAAATCACTAAAAGTGTTATTGCCAAAAGAGCTTAAAAAATGGATGGACTACATAGTCCACCTGTAGGACTCCTTGCCACCGGGCGGAGTGCTGGGTTTGACCCCTTGAAGGCACTGGCACACGTTGCTGGGGGAGAGACCTAGGAGTGGGGAAAGCAGCCATGGCACGGGACGCTCCAGGGCCAGCAGAGGGGCAGAAGGGGAGCGGGGAGAAAGCCCGAGCTTCCCGGACCAGAGAAGGATGACTGTTTACAACCTCACCCACGTGCCCCGGGGTCTCAGACTGAGAAGTCCCTGCACATACTGCACAAGAGACCACGTGCAGAGCAGTCACTGAGAACTTTCCAACTTTCCAGATGGACATTAGGGAGTGGTGAGGCCCCTGGTGAACTGGAGTCTCTGGAAGGAGAGGGTCACCCCTCATTTCCAGTCAACAGTTGTCATGATAATGTTAGCAGATCTCGTTTTTAAATAAGAAAAGCTGGAAATCAGAAATGTCATGGGGAACTTCCCATGTTTTAAGAAGATAGCTCTTTGGTCTTTTAGCAGATTCAGCCTACAGACCACCCTTGTGAGACTCCAGGTTAGAGGCTTATAAAATAACCTTTTCTGCCATGTCTTTTGATGTGAGAACACCATCGGCAAGAAGTCTGGGTACTTTTCTTGTAAGATTCTGATGAGCCCCAGAGGAAGAAATTATTTCCAAGTTTCTCTGGAAGAATCTATATATTGATTAAAGTAGTGTTATTACCTTAACACCACTTTACTGCTACTTTTACTGCCTCAGCTGGCAGCTTACCAAGCTCTTCAAGGTCAGGAGGGTAGGAATCATTTGCTATCTCCTTCTCCTGGCCCCCACAGCCAGGTCCTATAAAATGGATCTCTTCAGTATCTCATACTGTTCATGGGGTTCTCAAGGCAAGAATACTGAAGTGGTTTGCCACTCCCTTCTCCAGTGGACCACTTCTTGTCAGAAGTCTCCACCATGACCTGTCCGTCTTGAGTGGCCCTACACAGCATGGCTCATAGTTTCACTGAGCTAGACAAGGCTGTGGTCCATGTGATTAGATTGGTTAGTTTTTTGTGATTGTGGTTTTCAGTCTGTCTTCCCTCTGATGGAGAAGGATAAGAGGCTTATGGAAGCTTCCTGATGGGAGAGACTGATCTGAGAGGGAAACTGGGTCTTGTGTTCTGATGGGCGGGGCCACGCTCAGTAAATCTTTAATCCAACTTTCTGTTGAAGGGTGGAGCTGTGTTCCCTCCCTGCTATTTGTGTGCTTAGTCGCTCAATCTGTCCGACTCTTTGTGACCCCATGGACTGTAGCCCGCCAGGCTCCTCTGTCCGTGGGGATTCTCCAGGCATACTGGAGTGGCTTGCCATGGCCTCCTCCAGGGGATCTTCCCCACCCAGGGATCGAACCCAGGTCTCCCACATTGCAGGCGGATTTTTCTTTTATTTATTTTTTTTTTACCGTCTAAACCATCAGGGAAGCCCAAGAATACTGGAGTGGATAGCCTATCCCTTCTCCAGAGAATTCTTCCGACCCAGGAATCTAACCGAGGTCTCCTGCATTGCAGGTGGAGTCTCCACAGCCTGAGCCACCAAGGAAGCTCATAGTCATAGGGAACATTTTTAAGACTTGAAGTTTGGGATGACCTATGAGCAAGCCTAGTTTGAAGGAAGGGATTGTGGGCCAAACTATGGTGGAGGTAAGGAAGATAATGGTGACCTCCTTCAAAAGATCTCATGCATGTACTGCTACACTCAGTGCCCCCAACCCTGCAGCAGGTCACCACCAGCCCACGCCTCCACTGGAGACTCCTGGACACTCACAGGCAAGTTTGGGTCAGTCTCTCGTGGGAATGAGGATGAGATGGTTGCAGAGGATGAGATGGTGGGATGGCATCACCGACTGCATGGATATGAGTTTGGGTAAACTCTGGGAGTTGGTGATGGCACAGGGAGACCTGGCGTGCTGCAGTCCGTGGGGTCGCAAAGAGTCAGACACAACT